CTATTTCAAGACAATATTTTTTTTTTTTAGGAATGAGCTTTCTTTTTTAAAAAATAAAGAAAAAAAGAATTTGTACGAAACGTTCAGATGGATACTCAGGATTTGAGTCTAGTTAGTATGTATTTTATAGACCGTCGCATGTACACGTGCCAGTTCTGAGGGTGTGCATGATTCATAAATATATCATAGTTTACGATAAATTTTATTAGATATGACTTTTATATCAAGAATATTGCTTTTATATTCTGATTTATATCGAATCTAGGTTATTTGTTTGACATAAATTTTCCGTTTTCCGTTCCGTTCCGCTTTCCGTTCCGTTTTCCGTTCCGCGTTTTAGCAACACCCGGATTTTTGAACACGATTAGCCTCCATACTAAAATAGTTCACATGAAGAAAACCTTGAATGATTTTATTTTATTATTTTGGTAAGGGGCAAGAAAAGTGATTTTACGTCATAGGTATAAGGATATACTTAATTATCTACATGTAGGTCGTAACTTTTCTAATGTTAAGGTAGTATGGGATACCCCCACGTTATGACTTATATCCGTTTGAAGTATTGTTTTGATCTGCATGAGTGCTTATTATCGGGTCAAAATTTGTAGATACACCGTTTAAAAGAATATTCTGAAGCAATGCAAGTTCTCACAAGTCGGCATTTTAAATAAAAATGGAACAAAAAAATAAAATTAGTAATAAATCGCAAATATATAAATTTACTTATAATTATACTACGGACATATAAAAAGCAAATCCCAGTAAATGATAGTTTAAAGATTGCTGCTTTTCAACACTTTTAAGCAAAAGCTGTATTTCAATTGTTTGAGTAACATTACAACACCTTGTGTGCGGTGAGGGATGGATAAGCGCGATTACTTCACATTGTGCTGAATTATGACCAATAAATTATCACGTTAACCAGAGCTGATCTTCTTTGTTATTTAATTCAAGAAGCAACTGTTTGGTCACAAATCAGCTAGCTGTTGTATATAGTCCCAATACTTTTAGATGAATGCAATTGCTCTGAACGAGACACGTCTTGGAAAGCGATTGTCCATGCATTAATTGTTTTCAAAACAGTTCAAAGTTGAAAACTACCACTGCAACAAAGTGCGTTTTTTTTAAGTTTGGGAAAAAATGCTCACCATTTCTGAAATAGCACCCAGGTTTTTTCAACCCTTGGAAAATAAAGAAGGATAACTCTTCCGCTCGGATCTTTTAATTAAAAAAATTATAAATGCATTTTATATTTTCCATTCTATTTATATTTTCAGTTTGTTTATTTCACTTTGCTAACATATTAAGATACATTCTAATTGTAGACTTTCATGAAATGTTATCCGTCTGTTTTCAAGAAATGAAGTTTTCCCAATTTTTTACGCTTATTTTTTGTTGAAAATTAAAAAAATACTAAGACATATTTCTTGTCATTTTTGTTTTCATATACACTTTATATTAGTAAACTCCTGCCTATAATATTAAGCTTTTGAAAAAAGAATTATACAAGGAAAAAAAATCATTTTTGTATTTCTCATTAAAATAGTAAAAAAAAAATTATTAAAATTACAACTTAACATACTGAAAGGTGGGGGCATTTCATACCCTACTAATTTGGGTAAATAAATATGTAGGAGAAGTTTCGTTTGGTATCCCATACCACCTTAAGGTTATATAAATTCAAAACACTGAAAATCCAGGAAGGAGGAGGGGGGTATTATGCCCCCATTGAACTCCAAGTCCCATCTTCCACCTATGTGTATTCCCCCTTGTACGGCATACTAACCAAAGCGATAAAATAAAATTTTCAGTGTCTGGTACTTTGGAGTATACATGTACACTGTACTTACCATAGGATGATGTGAAGGGCAGACTCAGCAGCATGAGAAACAGGGTGATTCCAGTATGAAGTACACCAACATCCATCATACATGTATGAGGCAAATCTGTAGTAGAATGGAAAGCTAGATAATCTCTCTTTTATTTACCGATGGTTGATAATTGGAGTTTCATGTGGACATAAAGTTATCAGTACAGCAGAAATTTATAGGTTTTTTTCTAGTCTTCATTTCTCTCTAGTGAATCTCTGAATAATATATGCTAGGCCTATAGGGTTAATCATATTTTAAATTTCTTTTAAACAGGTGACAATGAAACTCAAAACTCTAAAATAATCCATTAAAAAGTGCGGTTCTCAAATTTTTATCATGGAAAAAATGTTTTGTTTTTTTTTGATTTAGTTCAATTGTCCAAAGAGTACTAGTACAAATGATTCATAATGATATTGGGATTAAATACCCTATGTTGCAGAACTCCATATAAGGTTTATATAAAAAAGTTTGCAGAAATATGCATTGAATTGTTCAAAATACGCATTAAAAATTAAAACCAATCTTATTTCATACGACAAACGGTTGTGACCCCTGAATATTTCCATTTCTATTTGTTTTCTCTGTGATAACTCTTTGAAAGTTAGGAGAGTTGATTTCTTGATCATTCTAAAGGAATGCAAATTTTGCCAAGCGAAAGGTCAGTAGCTAAGAAGGCCTAATATGCATGTAATTCGCGTGCAGCTGTCTTTGTGTCTGACTCTAAGGAGGCCTAAAATGCATGTAATTTTCGTGCGGCTGTCTTTGTGTTTGACGTCAGTAGGCGGGGACTATTGAAATTGACCTGTGAGGCCTCGTGTAATTTAAATCTATTAGTCTACATTTTTAAAATCTAAATTTACATTTTTATTTCAAAATGAAATGGAAATATAAGGAATCACTGTCTAGTTAGTAGAGTATGCCAGGGACATCAACGATAGTTGGAAACGTGGGATAATTTATGCATAACGGGCTTCGCCCGTTATGAAAATTATCCCACGTTTCCAACTATCGTTGATGCCCTGGCATACTCTACTAACTAGACAGTGATTCTTTAAATATTAAGTACTATTCCACGTAAGAATCAGGCAGGGGGCGGCACATGAAGGGTTTCCATTTTTTTTTAATCTTCGCATGCTGGTAGAGTATGCTTAGTAACTTCTTAAAATAAAATATCTTTTATCAAATCAGTGTCTGGTTTCCATGGCAACAAAAACACTGTTTGCAGCATATTATGGCCGAAATTTCCTCTAAAAATTTGCAAAATTGCCAATATTCAAGTTGAAATAAAAAGAAAATTAGATTGATTGATTGTATATTGTTTTACGTCCCATTCGAGAATTTTTCACTCATATAGAGACGTCACCATATACCGGTGAAGGGCTTCAAATTTTGACCTTTACTCGGCACTCAGGGCCATTGAGCAGCGAGGGATCTTTATCGTGCCAACGCCTGCCGTGACACGGGGCCTCGGTTTTTAAGGTCTCATCCGAAAGACCCGCAACTTTCACTCCAAAGTGCCGAGCGCATGGCGAAGGAACAGTTGCTACCTATTTTTTATCGACTTAGGTCTGTCGCGGCCGAGATTCGAACTCACGACCTCCCGATCACGGAGCGAGCGCTCTACCGACTGAGCTACCGTGAACGGTCAAAAGAAAATCAGAAAAGAAATCACAATTATATTTATTGCTCATTCAAATACAGCTCAACTAGTTACTTGTCACAATAAATCAAAGTATTTTTATGTCCAGTAAGATGTTTTAATTTTACACTGAAAAGGGGAGATAATTCAAATTTGCAAAAACTTGAAAATATCCACTTTTTGAGGATTTTCGTCTATTAAAAAATATAAAAACCCAACAGCCAAATCAAAAGACTGTGCTATTTTCATAGACATCATACCCTGTGGCTAATAAAAGTATAAAAACATTTTTGTGCAAATTATTATTAATATCCGAAAATTATGGATGAGTTTCATACAAAAAAAGAGCAATTTCACTATTTTTGTCAAAGTCCAGTATATGCCATAGATGTATACAAGTGAAATGAATATGACATTTCAAAACAATTTCTTTTTATTTTCAAAACACAACAACACAAGTATCTTTTCACAATTAATCAAAATATTTCCATGTCCAGGAAAAATTTCTAATTTTTCACTGAAAAAGGGAGATAATCCAAATTTGCAAAAAATATGAAAATACCGATTTTTTGAGGATTTTCAGCTTTTAAAAAAATATAAGAACTGATCATCCAACTCAAAAGGCTATGTTATTTTCATAGACATCATACCCTATGGTTTATAAAAGAATAAAACATTTTTGTGTAAATTATTATTAATATCTGAAAAATATGGGTAAGTTTCAAAGAAAAAAGAGCAATTTCACTATTTTTGTAAAAGTCCAGAATATGCCGTAGATGCGTGCATGTAAAATTAATTTGATATTTCAAAACAATTTTTTTTTAAATTTGCAATTTCAAATTCAGTACAACTATTTGCTTTTTACAATTAATCAATATAATATTTTGATGTCCAGTGTTCTAATTTATAACATATATAATTTGTAAATTATGTTCTAATTTAACTGAAAAGGAGAGATAATCCCAAAGTGCTAAAACATGAAAATGTTAAATATCTCAGGCTGTTTTTGAGGTCAGAGAGTAATGTACTCTTCAGGTAAATAAATCATTGAACTAACTTAATTGTATAATATACAACTTGTTTTTTATTTATACACAGATAATTATTTTTTGTTATCCTTTTTGTTATACATTTCCATCCACACCAAAAACACAATAACTAGTAAATATTCACAATTTGAGTGATATTTTTCACACATGATCCTATCATTACCAAGTCATCTGCTCATTTGCCATTCAAATTGATCTTATACCCAAATGATTTCATATTCAAGAAATCTAAACATAGGTGAATTCATGAAAAATAAATCTTTTCATTTTAAACCTTGGTATTTGGCAATCATGTTACACCAGGCCTGTTTACCCAAATTGTTGTCTCTCAGTATTTTTTATTAGATTTGTTAGTGAGATTTGGCATTTGCCCGTAAGATTTCACTTTTCATCAACTGTACATAATATTACTAGAAAACAACTACATTTCTGATTATCAAAACATGGTTTAGTAACAAAGCAAAACATCATACCCTGCTTTCTTTTGAGTGATTTCTGTCATTTTTTAAACCACCGCATTTTGGCGACTTAAATGTTTGAAATTTTTACCTTTTTTAGCGAATAAAAAGCGTCAAACTGAGACAGATAACGAAAACTAACTGCTAAAATCCATATGAACGGATTTCCGTATTTTCGTTATAGCAAAACGTGAGACGTATTTTGGACTGAAAATCCGTACAAAATACGGCGAAATCGTAAGAGTAAACAGGTCTGTTACACAGAATATCACAAGTCAACCCAGGTTTTCTTTTGTAGTCAACGACTGTCCTTTGTTTAGTAGTTTCTTATACTGAAACATAAACATGATAAAACTGTAGTCTTAAGTGCTTATAGATTCATGGAAGATGAAAGTCACTGCCTCATTAATTTTATCCAAAGTGTTGAACTCTTTCACTGAACTCCAGTCTTTGTTTTGTGATAGCTGTGATGATTTCATTTCCTGAGATTTCTGAAATGATAACTGATAAGTTAATCAATTATCACCAAAGAATTGATATAAAGGTATTAAAGGTTAAATTTAAATACACATGCAATTTCTTCTATCAAAATTGAAGTTTAAAATAGTCAGTATTCATTTTATTATGGGACTGATATTCAGCTTATAAAGCTTTGTCACATCTGAATCAATTAAGAAAAATGAAAAACTAATTTAAATAGAAATGATGAAACCTGTTTGACTTATCGGGTCACAGCAAATATACATTCAAACATACATATAAACAGACCTGCATGACCAAGTAATGCTTTTCTCTACAAATAAGTACTTCAGTAATATTTGAAAACAATTCATTAAAAAACTGCTTGAGTTATCGTTTCATATATGTAGCAAAGGTGTCAATGGATATGTATTTGAATGTACATACAGACAAACAGACTAAGCGATGTGACCCCAAAATGCATAGGTGATTTTCTCTTACAGTAAAGAGCTTCTGTATAAAATTTTAAAAATGTTATGTTAACCAGAAGTCTCTGATGAGACTGTAGCTCTACTGGTCTGTATGCATAGCAAACGAAAAGTAGCACTTGGATTTGAAACTTTGCAACATGCAGCAATAAATAGAATTATGTATCTTAATGTAGTCTACTTATGTGCCAAGTCATATTGAAATCAAACAAAAACTGTAGGAGTAGCATTTTGAAAGTATTTCACAGAAATTTCTATTTTCAGTAACCATGGCAACACCATTCATCGAAATCAAAAACCAATGCACTAAATTATGTATCTTAGTCTACTTTTGAGCCAAGTTATATTGAAATCAGACCAAAACTGTAGGAGGAGTAGCGTTTTAAAGGAATTTTACAGAAATTTCTATTTTCAGTGACCTTGGCAACACCGTTCATTGAAATAGAAAAAACAATGCACTTAATTATGTATCTTAGTGTAGTCTACTCGTGTGCCAAGTTATACTGAAATCAGACCAAAACTGTAGGAGGAGTAGTGATTTGAAAAATTGTTTACAATTTGACAGACGGACAGACAGACAGACAGATGGACAACGGACACCTTACTATCGCATAAGCTCTTCTGGTTTATGACCAGTAGAGCTTAAAACTGAGTTATTGCATCACAACAAAAGTGTCAATGAAAATACTTTTGGACATACATGCAGACAGACAGACAAAGTGAAATAACCCTTGAATGTGTTTTTGTTTTCTTACAATAAAGAAATTCTGTACAAATCTGAAAGCATAATATTGAATCTTGCAACAACAAAAGTGATGACAAACTGACAGATGGATGTACAATGTGATTTCTACGATGCTCTCTCCTTTTTAATTCCCTTCACATATGCCATTCTTGGTGCCCAGTTTATTTAAATTGGTGCAGATGTTCTGGAGAATAATAAGGAATGTGAAAAGCTTACAGGGAGATAGGAAGATGGATAGACAATGAATAACAAGTGATTTGATAAGCATGAGCTTTTAGCTCAGGTGAGGAAAATTCTGTTGGTTAAGACCATTCCAAGTTTTTTCTATGTTTAGCGTCCGCGTGAGCCTTGGTTTTTGACACCCCATATCAGAAAAAAACAAACAAAATCAGGAGTCCTGAAATTGTTTATTCTGGTCAAAATCACTGAATTCTGTCAATTTCTCAAAGTATTTGTCTACAAAATGTCATATTTTGAATATTGTAAGCATTTAAAGGACTTATCGCATGTTTCTAAATTATTTGAAATTAAAAGCGTAAAACATTCCTTATGACCACAGTTTATTAATTTAGTGTTTTTACTGCGGATAAACCGCAGTAATTAAGCAATTATTGACTCAACTGAAAACCCCTGAATTAAAAATCTAAGTTAATTAGATAGCGATCACGTGACCCTGTGACGTCAAAGGCGACAATGGCTGATCAGCTCTTCACGTAAATCTTACTAAAATATACGCGATACAACCTGAATTTTCTATGTTATGGATGACCAAATCACTGATTTTATCGATATGAAATTTAATATCCAGCCTTATATTTTAGAATTGTCAGCAAGAAATAATCTGAAAAAATCCGTTAACATTGTAAAAATACAGCGACGATAGCGAGGGAGACGTGGCGAAGACGAAGAAACTCGCCATAACAATACAATTTGATTTGTCATTTTATCACATGTATGAACTTATTTGATTCACAAATTTAAATTACATAACTTTATTATTCTTCATTTTTAGCATAATATTAATTTATGCAAGTATGCCTTTATATGTTTTGTAAAGGATGGCGGTCTTGAAAAATAATTTTCCGATCACGAAACATTGCCGTAATCAGACCTACAGATTCTAAATGTTTCGAATAAAAAAACGAAAATATCTCAAAATTCTTACACCTTAAAACTAGTAAATATTTCTACAGTAATTGGAAATCAAGTAAGGAATTAATTTTTTCAGCATTTTTCATAATTAAGCTGCATTTGTCGTTGATAACTCCGCAAATAGTGTGCAACTTATCATCTCTCTATCACTGAATTGTCACCTATGACGTCAGAGCAGTATTTCGCCGAAATCCGACTGAAATATGCATATTGCCGTATTTGAATTTCAACTCTCAATATCTCTTAAAATACGCTTTCAACAACGTTTATTGTATTCAGAATTTTAATAAACAAGGTTGTAGATAATATTTTTCATAAAATTAAGATTTTTGAAAAATCATGCGATAAGTCCTTTAATACCTTGATTTTGCTGAAGAATAGATATTTCTACGAGAAAAATAGATTAATGGAATCAATCCTTTGAAAAGCATCATTTTTATGACTATGAAGTCTTGTGCTTTATTTTTTGAAACATTCAACTGCATCAACATATTTATACCTTGACCTTAACTTCACATTCCTTTAAATAATGTTGAGCTCAATTTCATAGAAACTATTTGCAAAAAACACACAAACCAAAAAATAAAGCACAAGACTTCGTATGACTTAGTATGAACATTCAGTGGGATATTTTGTTGTTGATGTGTCAAATTTGAAAAAATTTTGGTGTGCTGTTATTTTATATACATATTTGTTTTTTTTTTAATCAATTATATCCCACTGAATGTTCATACTAAGTCATACAAAGTCTTGTGCTTTATTTTTTGGTTTGTGTGTTTTTTTGCAAATAGGTAGGTAGGTATTTGAAAGATGGGTGGACGCTAAACACAGAAAAAACTTGGAACAGCCTAATGAGAAAAAGATTTTTTAGACTTCACCCTATTTTCTTCCCCTTTGAATAAGGAAAAGGCAATGTAAAAAATATTGATGAAATTGAATAGCTCTCACCAATATGCATCAGCGTTTAAGCTTTCGTAAAAATATCTTGAATAGTTTCTATGAAACTGAGCTCAGCATTATTTAAAGGAATGTGAAGTTAAGGTCAAGGTATAAATATGTTGATGCAGTTGAACTGAATATATCTATATGTTTCAGCATATGAAGTTTGATAAAAATATCTTAAAGGCTTTTTTTTGAAACTGAACTAAACACTTATTTAAGAAATGAGGTCAATGTCAAAGCAATGTCAAACCACATTAGACTGTTTCAAAGAGACTAGCTTGATAAAAACCTTAGTAATGTCAGTAAAATGTAAGTCAGCAATAACCTGTTCTGAATTTTCAGTATACATGTATATCTATTTATATTCTATCATTAATTATTGTAATTTTTAAAGAAAAAAAAAGTTAAAAGCATTTCTTCTGAACAAAATATCTTTATCGTGTTTAATTGTTTACAACCTGTTATGATTTGATATCACAGTTATATGTTTTTTTTTTTCTGTCCATGCTTAGGTCAGGTATATATTAGTCATTTTCAATGGCTGGCTAAAGAACACAAAACATTGTGGCTGCCAGTGATGGTGGTGTGTGGGTGTGTGTGTGGGGGGGGGGGGGGGGTGTTAAATGTGATGCTGGCTGGCCAAATTTTGACATCAGTGCTGATGAAAAATTTTGGTGTGCTGTTATTTTATATACATATTTGTTTGTTTTTTTTAATCAATTATATCCCACTGAATGTTCATACTAATGTACAAATGCCACATGTACTGTATGAGTATAATTAAAACAGAGGGCCTTATATTTTAGCAGCTTTGGTGTGGACAGTTTAAGCACATGTGCAGTGTCTCTGCATACAAAACAGACTGACCCTTACCACTGAAATGTTTTGACATCTTCTAGTTCAGGTCAACTGAGGCAATGACTATGAGATACAGACTCTTCTGTTTCAGTCACTTGGTTATCAGCTGTTTATACATTGAGTACACCTGGAATTTTAAAAGAGAAAAGTTTAAGACATTTAATTAAAAATAAAAAATAAAACCTATAAAATTTATTACTTTTAAGATATTTAATAAATGATGTATGCGTCTTCATTTTTATACTAGATTACTATAGCTTATTAAACTGAACTGCATGTACAAATACTAAAAAACATTCCCCTCAAATCCCTTTAATCTGGCCAAGTTTTACAGTGATTGTACATAAGAACAATTACTAAGCTTATGATGTCACATTTTATATTACACATTATGAACTGGCCACCCCAATAAATATAATTTACTGTTTAACAGATAATTAAACTGTAATCAATAATCATTTATAACTGTCAATTTACCCTGCTTATTAAATCTCACCTCTTTCAAAACTAGTATACATTACTTCCCCTTTCCAAGTTGAGTAAGCGGACACATTCGGACGGTCATCCCTGTCTGGGGGCTCACTTTTGGATTTTGGTGGATGACCTTGCAAGCTTAACTTCCGACATTGACCATACTGATATCAGTATGAACAAATTGGCATTACCTTGATCATCACGAGGACAGTAATTCCACAGATCTAGTAATTTTATACACAAGTTGCTGATACAAGCTCACCGTCATCGTCTCTCTTAACAGATTATTCACTTCGTATACACCTGCACGTATGTACGATTCTGTTCTTGTACAGTCCTTTAGTGCAATTCATGTCAATTCAGTCAGATATTTGCAATACATAACGCACGTTGCTCCAAAACAACTTTGCCAAGCAGCCTGCCATGGAGGCTGCCATTGTTCTTTTTACTAGCGCCACCTATATAAGCTTCCTAAGGGAGATAACTCTTACCATGAATTGTAGCAAATTCCATGATTTAGTAACCCTTTATCTTTCCAATCATTCATTTGCACAAAAATATTAAAGTACTTTTTCTTTCCATATTCCATCATTATTGTAATCATGTATTTAGTTTTCCCAAATCCTCTTGGGTTTTAAGGAAATTATTTCATGATATATGCACTTTTTACATACAATTTATACACAACACCCCCCTTGAGAAACTTATCCCCGGCTGTGTGATGAAAGGAGAATTATAGTAAAATCATTAGTCATCATTCATTTTAGACCCAAATGAATACATTAAACACAGTTTTAATGAATTCGCAGATTTTCACTGTACCGCCTAATTAGTGCTACCTGCCTGATTCTTACGCATGGGAAGAAATTCTGTGGATTTTCTCCGGTGTTGCTTTAGACTGAATTCAATCAAAGCGCAATTAACGCTAATCTTGTGATGTGATGCGAGACAAATGATGGCAGCACTGTTGAGGGAAGGATCCAACATTTTTTCAGATTTAAAATTAAAGCTTTAAAAGAACAATATAATATAAGGCCTTTCATTGGAAGGGGGGGGGGGTGCGTGATTTCAATTTCCTACTTGCTCAATAATAATAACGAGTTTAAAATGAAACATATAATTATAGAAAATAAACGAGTAAACGATAAACAAATTAAAATAAAAAGGAAATTAAATTCCATGTTTGAGTTTGTAACCCTTATTTTTTTTTCTTTTTTTTTTTCTAGAAAGTATAAGCGTATCACAGGTTACCATAGTAGTGCCATATAAAAACACAGGTTTTTTCATAAATATGTCTTCGGATGTATACGGGGTGGAATGGGCTGATTTTAGGGCATAGATGGGAAGGAGAGTGTCTGGGGGAAAAGAATTAAAATTTCAAATATTGAGAAATATTGCCTTTGAATGCGTAGTAGGAAGGGTGTAAATAGGCCATGTTTACCTTCTTCTAAAGGGGTAAGTTAAATATGCAGGGTATGGGGTAACTCACGGTGTCTTAGAGGGACTTGTACACTATAGATTCTCCTTAGATTTAAAAATATTTTAAGGCTATAATAAAAAAGAAATCGCTAAATTTCAAGATAATTTAATTAATTCTAAATAAAATTTAAATAAATTCCACATGCAAAAAGGTAGAAGAACGCGTGGTAGCAAAATCATATTGAGCATATCAAAGGAAATAAATGCTATAATTATCAATGACATCCGAGGAAAATATTTGTAAAAGTATTTTTTTTTTAGATCCACCTCTACAAGATTCTGCCATAAATTATCTCGAATCACTCTTAGGGGAATATCGGTGATTAGCGTTAATAGCACTTGTATTGAGTTCAGCTCATAGCTAAACCGGACGGGATTTCTTGGGATGTGGAATAGTACTTAACGTCTGACGGTTTGACGACCTTATTTTGGTTGTTGTTACTTGACGTGTGCCCCCCCCCCCCTTTCCCAAGTGTAGTGATCGCAAAAAAAAGAAGAGAAATTAATACCGGACATTCGGACCGACAGTCAGATGTATTTCGCAGGACCAAATGAAATATGTGTCTGCCAGTGAGCGAAACTTTATCAACGAGGAAATTTGTTGTTTTAAAAGCTTTCAAACATTAACGCTAGACTGAGTGAGTTGCGTCACTTACAATGATTTATGATGTAGATAATAATATTTTATGACTTACCGTTTATAGAAAATAAGAGTTAGATCAATTATATTTGTAAAACTACAGTGATTCCCCTAGGCCCAACAGTCTGCATCAACGTTCCAATAAGGTACGAAAGAGTTCTATTGCCAAGAACGGTAACTGCATGTTTAAGGGATTGTGGCGCGGGAAAACACGACAAGCCAACTTGGACAGACCTGTATCCAGTGGTGTGATAGAAAATGAATTCCTGGTTGAAAATTCAATTTTCATCAATATGACAAATTGATTTAAGCAAAATTTTTATTGAACAAATAATCTCTCCAATGAACAGTTTTCTTTATAATTTCTTTGAGCAGTACTTAATTTAGCATTAAGACTGAAAAGCTGCATGAGACGAAATATCTATTACCCATTATGTATTATCTATCATGCAATCACCACATTTTATTGTCCAGGAAACTTAATAATTTTTCCTATTTTCTCGACACCCTGCTCCGCCCCCTAACCCCCCCCCCACACACACACTATTCCTCTTTTTTTCTCGAAAAACAGCGGCATGCTTTTCTTCTAGTCAGGATATTTTAACATTGTACAATAGTTATACTATTATGGCCAATATCGTGACTATCAATCTTACGTCACCTCGAAATAACAGTTTGCTATCTGATTCTGACAGACTTAAAAGGCAGTCTAATATTGTGTCATACCCCCCCCCCCCCCCGCCAAGAGAAAAAATATAGTACCGAAATAAACCTTGGGATAAATTTGATTAAGATAAATTCAAAATGTAACTTAATTGCAAGATTTCATTCTTTGAGTATCTAGGACTGATTTAAATTTCTGAATTTAAATAACATTTTCCCGTTAAAGGAGAAGGTCGAACAAGGCGTACAAAATGCCTATAGCTTCAAATATATAAAAGTCATATTCAATTTTTGAATTAAGTATTTAGATTAAAGTTCTTATAGCTGAAAGGTTTGAAATTACATGTATGACGAACAAAACTTTTCTGCAGAAAATTCTTTCGGCAAAAATCTTTAAATATGATTTAATTTCCCTTTGTAGAACATGCACTTCAGCTTCAATAATCATTAATCAATATATGGAACAGTTATATTGTTGTGTGTATAGAGAGGAAATCAAATAAAACTGTATTTGACAACTTTGCAATACTCTAAGTAAATATTACATCTAAATGCAAGTGTCTATTTGTGCACGCGTTTTATATGAGCACAAAATGTATTTAAAATATTCCTTTAATTAGCAAACAAAGAAAGCATTTTATTGTTTATTGATTGAGCAATGTTGCCATCATCTGTCGACAGAGGAAGATATCACAACGAAATGATATAGATTTCTTTACTTGAATACTAAAAGCATAAATGTATAAGAAAAAAATACTTTTTCATTCTCATTAAAAGGATACCATACCTTTCAAGTTAATTAAATATATGCATCTCTTAAAAATCTTACTCAGTAAATGTTTCTCGAATTGAAGTGAATAATTACTAAATACACAGACATCATCGTTTTATTTACTCTAATTCATCCCTAATGGACTCAACAAAAGAGGCCTTAGAAAATGATTTAATCAAATCAATTTTTAGTTTAGAGTGGGTGACTCGCGATACAGTTGTATTTCTGTTATAATGATTATCAGGAACATGCAAACGTAGAAAGATATAATTATAATTTAACATGGCATTACTGGTACTCTTAGGTTTTCTTGGAACGCTAAGCAATAAGTATATAGGTGAAAACTCTCTCTCTCTCTCTCTCTCTTTCTCTCAGTGTGTGTAAAATAATGAAATCAGTAGGGATTTTTGACACTGAAATTTATTTAATACACTTGAGATGGTTTCCTTTTCAAACATTTAAAAAATCAGACCATTATCAAAATATGAATAGAAATTATAAATTGGATGCTGTGACGGTACATATTGTCGTTTTGTACATATTGTCGTCGGCGACAATATGCACCTACCCTCAATGCACATATTGTCGTCCATCGGTACATATTGTCGCCGGCTGAAAAGTTACACATGTACATATTGTCGCTGGCGACATTATGTGCCTAACCCTCACTGAACATATTGTCGCCACACAGATATTGTTGCTTAAAGATTTCCTTTGTTGTTTTTTGGTAGTTTTGTGAATGTAATTGGTGTGTGAATGTCACTGACGTGTCTCGTATGCTATTTCATGCAGCGTCATTGTGACGGTATATTTTGTCATCCTGTTCATATTGTCGCCGGCGACAATGTGTACCTACCCTCACTGCGCATATTGTCGTCCATCAGAACGTGTCGCAAGACAATGCACAGCAATGCTCCATATAAATATGACTTATCATTGCTGTGATGTTTTTGAGAAGATATTTTTTAAAGAATTTCCCCATATATTCCTATGTAAAACCTTGATCTCCCATTGTGGCCCCACCCTAGGCCTGGTTTGATTTGAAGATAATGGAATCTTCGCTACCTGAGGATGCTTCCATATAAATATCACTAACCACTGGCCTACTGCTGTTTTTCAGTGGTGGATCAAGAAATTTCAGAACTGAAGGGGGGGTTGCGGTTCAGAATTTTTTTTGGCAATTAAGCAAAAAAAAAAAAAAATAAAATAAAATAAAAAAAATAAAAAAATAAAAAAAATAATAATTCGTATGTAAAGTCTGTTACATGTACTGTATATGTTAAGTAAATTATTTAATTGTGAAAGGACAAGGTGCGTTTGGTGCAAAATTCGGCCCCGTGTCAAAATTAAATAATATTCCTCAAAACTCTTTGAGAGGGTATATATTTTCATGAAATTATCAATATATGCATGTACAAAGCTTTATTTTTGTTTTATATTAACGTAAAGGTAACATAGTTTACGATAAAGTTGCGATATTTTGACGTTGCTTAATGCGACGTCATGAACAAAAATTTAACGTCATGTTTTAAAATAAATCCAGCTTACATGTATATTTTATTATGTACGTTAATTAAATTTCATTTTCATAAACGTGCATTCCGATGTATTGGTATAAATGTGATAGCATATCATGCTTTCTAAATTATTTTTCATAATTAAAGACAAATCTTTAAATCAGTTAGTATGGTTGGCTTTAAAATTTTTGAATCATAAGGGAAAAAAGGGAATGTACATGTACAGTACATTCTTAGCGGATTTCTCACTATACGCGCCTCTCATTGGCACAAGCAAAGTTATAGGCTTTGTTTGTTAACTTGACGAACCATAATTGCCAAGCTTTGTAAAAAAAAGACT